TATGGGGGTCAGGGGGTGAATTCTGCAAGGGTTTGAATAATTCGTCCCTACGGTAGTAGTAACAAGAAGCTACTAGGAACAAGTGCATCGCTTCTAGTAACAAGTGCCTTACTAGTAGTAACAAGGTTCGCTACTAGGAACAAGTGCATCGCTTCAGAGTGTCTCCAGGTCTTGGTCCCGGTCGCAAAACTTCCGACACCGCTTCCAGGTGGTCAGCGGCATCCCAGTAAACCTTGTGAACCCGGCGACGGCCCACCCGTCGCCCCATTTTTTCCAGGCCGGGACATAGTCTTTTCGTCCTCCGCGCGGATGTTGGTTTGTTTGGGGCGAAAACGGCGGATAGGGTGGCAGGGTCGCGACGAGATGTCTGCTGCTGGCATGTGGTGAAACATGGTGAAATCGACCAATTACTTGACGGCCCCCTCAACCTTAGCAACTACTATCCTTGAATAAACAAAGACAGCTTTGGAGTGAACCGGACAAAGGAACATGTCAGTCCCTTGACATCCCTGGTCCGTTTTGTTCATTTTAGCGCCAGCCAGCAGGCTGTCGGCGTTTGGGAACGTTTTGAACACATATCGTCGAAATGAGTACGTATGTCCTCCTTCACGGCAAAGCATTGGAGCCTTCTGCAATCCTGTGAACCCCGTCTTTCGCATCAGGTCAAATCCTCAGTTTCAGGCCAGTGCCACTTGATACAGTGGGCACCGGCCGGAACTGGAATTCTGGAAATCCCAAACAAAAGCTGAGAAAGAGCAGAGCGTTGCAGCTACTGAGACGAGAGAGCGGATTGCTCTGGCAAAACATATCAAACATCTATGACTCGAATGGCCCTCAATGGCAATGGCCCATGGCCTTCTATCGCCCGTCACCCGTGGCCTTGCGCGTTTAGTCTTGTTGACCCACGTTGGGCGCCAGATGGACCGGCACCTCACGGTCTTCTCGTTGAAGCCAAAGGATGGCTCAACGGCTGAGGCGGCTGTGCAGGCGTCAAGGAGGAGGTGGCGGGGGTTCGACACCCTTCCCCAGAGCTCGTATAGCAACAGTTGCTCCATCTGGGTTGAGCATGCTGAATCAATGAATGTTTTGTTGAACAACCACTTGTGTTTCCATACACCTCGGCAGACCGACGACATGGGACCCTCGCTGTAGAACCTTTTTGAAAAGAAGCTTCAACATTCTGGGTGATGCACCTCGAGCTCTCCTCCAACCAGTCGTTGCGCCTTCGGTGGTTCTGAGTCAGGACTACAGCGTGAAAGAGCTCACAAAGATCTACAAGGGGCCCGAGGTTTTGATGAACGCCCCCAATCTGGGTTCGGGGCACCAAGATTGCCTTGATCGCTAGTATCAGGAATTGGGTGAGAGTGCCTAGCAATCCTAACAATTGCAGGTCAGGTGTTTGTTCTTGTTGTTTCTGACATGTTCCCCAACTTATTCTACCCTCCTAGACTCCCTAGACCCTTCCCGGGAGAAGGTGCTGCTTGCGCCAAACGAAAACGTCGAAGCGGTTGAGGTGTTTTGGCTCAACACTGTGTGGCCTTCGATACCACCCGGGTGCCGCTGCTTGTGCATTGGGGGAGTTTTTTGGGACGTTTTGGTTGTGTTTGGACCATGCTTTGCCAGAAAAGCTGGGGATGTTCCTTCGCTAGGGGTGCGAAGGCCTAGGGTCCCAGGGCATTGGGATAGTTATTATTACAGGTCAGAGGAGGTTTCTGACAAATCCAGAAGAGATTGACTCGTGTCACGGGTCCTCAATGAACTGGGGAGTATGCCAAGGGCCACACCTTTGAACGAACTTCCTGTTGCTTTCAACCTGAAAGCTGTGTCAATCGGGGATAGGCTTCAGGCTCTTATTGGTTCTTATTGGGCCTCCGTGCGTTTTCAGATGTGCTCCGGCTTTTAAGCAAGTGCAAACCCATTTGCAGGGAGGTAGGAAACTCAGCATTTCAGACACCGAGCAACTACGTTGCCCGCAGCTACATATATAAGTTCAACCTGCTGCTGATTTGCGACTTGAAGTTTGGGAGCCAACCATTCGTACCAGGGGTGCGAATGGGCTCACAAACCTACTGCTCCAGGAGAGCTCTCAAGGTAGGGCCACGGTAGGGTCAACTTTAACGCCATTTGAGGTGCAGGCCTTGTGGGCATCCTCAATAGCTCTGGTCTACGATTTGCTCACCCTTTCATGCCAGGCAGACCGTCGCCTGATCTTTGTGTTCGACGTGCGCCAGGGCAGTTGAGCTTCTGTGATGTGCATGCATGGCAGACTGGCCACAGCAACAGTACCATGCCAAGATGCAGCTGTGTTTCGAGTAACCCTTCTACTCACCCTTCTACTCAGGCCTGATTCCACCTTATATATATATACAATTATATACATATGTATGTATAGTGGTCATGAAGATGTGGTGCCAACATAGATTCTGAAGAATTGTAATGTGGTCCAGTGGTGGAACGAGCATTGCTCATGGTATATAAGACAGCGGCTTGAGAGGTGAGCTATCGTTGGTTATCGCACATCAAGAAGCTGAAGGAATCCTAGTCCAATTCTTTTTCTCAACCTTAGTGTCCCCCTGTTGTACTGTAGTTTGAACCTACCTTCCCCCGGAGACACTCCACGCCTCAGCATGGTGTTCTTTCAGGAGGCCTTGGAGCGGGACAAATTCTATACCTGCCTCAAGATCTTGCGCATGTCCGTCTAGAGCTTAGCCAAGTCGGTAGGGGTTGGGGTTGGGGGTCGGTGGTGCACAAACGGTTGGACCAGAGTTCAGCCCTACCATGGGCCAGCGGTTTGGTTGTGGAGGTGTCCGCGCCCAAAAACACGTGTGGGGTAGGGGTAACAAGTCATCTCACGAAGAGATCTTGACACCTGTCCACCGTAGTTTCTTGGGACCCCATGGTCACAGTTCTGAGGCCCCGTTGTATGGAGTTTGCTCCCACATCTTGGTGCCGTCCAATCCAGCAACACATATTTGAGTGTCTGTCTGAATGCATAAGACGGGTTGGGACCAGGGAAACACTTGCCAAGCCCGTTCCGGAGATGCCAATCACCCACAGAACTCAGTCTTGATTTGGCCATGAACTTTGGCCATGAATTGCAGAGTTGCATACAAGTATTATAGATTATTATAGATCATCAAGGGCACACAGGTTGATAGGTTGGTAAGATCCTTGACATAGCTTTCTGGCTTCGCGGACACTGTGTCATTGGTTTTTCTTGTTATGGCAGAAACACCGATGCGGGGATGATGGACTGAATTGGGTGCCCCAAAACTGTGTGGCTAAGGTAGATATCAGTCAATCAGGCCGTTGCCTTAGCGAGCTTCATCGAGCTTCGCCGCTGGAGTAGGCTGACCGTCGACATGTTGCTCCGCTGACCCATCAAGCTGAGAACAGGACTGCGCCCGGCTATCGCAGTGACCAGACGGGCTGAAACTCAGATCATCAAGAAATCACTCGAAACAAACATCAAAGCACAAAGCAGGCTCAACAGCAAAACAAAAATCAAAGTCAACACAACTCAAGTCGGACCAAAAATACCTCAACAAGTACCCAAGGAGCAAGGTGTTTTCTATTGTTTTCAGGCTTGCATTCATGAGTTCTACGCCATTCTGCGCAAAGACTCGGTGTTTTTACTAGCTTTTAAGTTTCTCTTGAGTTTTCTTGATTCTTTTCCTTGTGTTTTTCCCTGAGTATCATTTGAGTCTAATCTGATTCTCTTGTTTCAGTTGCTCTCGTTTCTCATTTGAGTTGCTTTTGAGTATATTTTAGTCTATAATCTTCGATAGTCTTGATCTCTTGCTAGCTGTTTGGGACGATATGATCATAAGACGAGTTACCTACCATTCCTGAAGTCCACAAGGGTGAGACTAAAGCCTTCAAGGGCTCAGCCATGCACTTGATGAGGTCCGCACTGAAACTGATATGACCATCTAGGCTAGGTGACCTAGGTGCTCAGGTGGTTTCCCATAGAGTGAAGTCCGCCAACGCAGAAAATTCATCCTTGTCCGAGTGTTCAGGTCAAACTTCTTCATGACCAGAAGCTTTCAGCTTCAGAAGCTTTAGGCACCGTTTCACTGTTTGCAGGGTGAGAAACAGGCTGCAGAAATCACATGAAACCGCCATGAGCAATGATGTCCTAGTCCTGCCTTGCAATCGGGTCTCTGAGGACTCCAAGAGCCAAACAAAAAACTGTGCCATGGACCTCAAATCACCAGGCATTTTCTTGTTGGGGTCCTCATCTTGTTGAGGCACAATTTGCTTTGCCGCCCCAAGGGCGACCTGCCCCCCATCGATCGCATTGTTGCGCCATCGAGTGCGTGAACGCATGGGCGTGGGCAACATCGAGAGTCGCGCAATGCCAAAAGAGCGTTGGGATTGGCGTTGGAATTGGTTAGTGGGGTAGAACGGTAGAACTAAAAGTTGATACAACATGGATGGGATACAGTGCAAAAGCAATTTGGTGTGGCCGGCACGGACGAACATCTTCACGTGAATGTCAAGGGAGTGCTGTCAGATCGTGGCAGCTTTGACAGGCCCGATCTTTCATTGCCTGAAGTGCGACAGAAGGTCCTATTTTGCAGGCGAGCCGACATCAAAGATGCTGCAGGTAGCAGTTGTATCAGGATCAATACTTGTAAAGCTGTCAGCCCTAAACATCCATGAAGCACCAGAAACGATGCATTCCAACTCCGGTGTACACTTGAGAAGCCACAGAGAAACTCAACGTGAAGAACCCATCAACACAGCAAGAAACTGCTTACATGCAAGCCCCAGCCCCACTAGGACCCCCAAGGCCCAAGGCAAACAAAGATGTGGTCAGAGCTGAAGCCTCAAAACACAGAGACACGAGGTGACCCAAACATCTCGATAGCACGAGCCATGGACGCTGTGGGTCCACCTCTACGGTCTCTGCCTCAGTCCACCGCGCTCCTCGGCCAACGGCGACAATGGCACAGCAACGCGCACAGCGGTCGTTGCACCGCGCTCGACCCGCGCATCTGCCTGGTGGCCGTGGCCGGGTGTGCGGCAGTGTGCCGCGCGCCGCAGCATTCTGCGCGGCGCGCGGTGTCAGCGCTGGTGGTGGGTGGCACAGGCGCCAGAAAGAGTCGTCTGAGACGAGAGTGGCGCCAACGACATGGTTCCGAGTGTGAGGTATATAGTATCAAGGTAGTTACATCATGTTACCAGTAAAAATCTGCAAGGGTGAAAGATCCATCAAACGAAGTCACAGGCTTTCCCAACCTCCCTTCGCAGTACTCATGACGACAGTGGCCGTCATGACTTTCGGACCTTGATCTACCAGATGGATGCTGATTGCACCCCCGTTCTAACAGATTTGTACTTGCAATAGCTTGCGCCGCCTTCTGTCAAGAGAGAAATGTCTTTCATTCCGTTTTTTTTGCATCTTTTTCAACCACTGAATCTTGCTTCAGCGTCTCAGGCCGTGTGGGTGGCTCCACCGCGCGGTGGCTCCAGCGACTGGCGGAGGAGACGAAGCTCGAGCTAGAGGTGGCCGTGGGCGGCCGAAACAAGGAGACTTGGCACAGGCGGGAGGACTGTGGAGGACTTAGAAACGGTTGAAGTACGACAGAACGCCTTAAAGTCGGAACTTGGCAAGCGACTGCTGTCTGACTGGGAAACCGAATTCGGGGATACTCGGGGTGTGATGGGATGTAAGGGGCATTGGCATGAGAGGTAGCATCTTGTGCTTGTGCTTCCTTTTTGAAGGCAGGCTGAAGTGACGGATGTGTTTGTGGCTTGAAGTCAGTTGACCTTATTGATCCGTGAAAGGGAACTAACTAACCATGTTGACATCCGATTTTGGACACAGCCAACACAAAGGGCTTAGGGCCTAAGGAAAAGACTGGATTTGACTTTGTGTTTTCTGTTCTTCTTACAATTTTTTCCTTGATCGAACCAACAATGGCACAAGTGATGAGAACAAGGGCCTCACTTTTGATCCGATGGAACAAAGGACCTCATTCTGCTGGTGGGGGATAACCAAGCTGAAGGCTGTCGTGAAACATGATGAAACATGTAACATGTATATTTATAGAAAAGATGACTCTGCGGTGACGGTGGATTTCCGTTGGTTCCATGCAACAGCCAGTTGGCTTCAGGTGGCGGACTGGCAGCGTTAGGGACCTTTCCGGAAGCAATCCTTGATCTATCGCAGTGGCCGTTTTCACCATCGCTACTAATTAGGTGCCATCGGATGCTACTAGGGGCTCCTGGCCATACTATATACTAGGAGCAAGAAGCTACTAGGAACAAAGGGCATCGCTACTAGTAGCATTCTTACTACTAGTAACGAGAAGCTACTAGGGGCTCCTGGCCGTTTCGAACGGAACCATGTTCGCCACGCACGGAGCCCGGAGCCTTTCGGGCATCGCGACTGGACCGAGCGCGCTCGGACGATCGCGACTCGCAGGCACATTATTACTATTAAGCTACTAGAAACAAGTGCATCGCTACTAGGAGCAAGGGCCTTACTAGTAGTAACAAGAAGCTATTAGAAACAATAAGCTACTAGAAACAAGTGCATCGCTACTAGGAGCAAGGGCCTTACTAGTAGTAACAAGAAGCTATTAGAAACAATAAGCTACTAGGAACAAGTGCATCGCTACTAGGAGCAAGGGCCTTACTAGTAGTAACAAACAAGTGCATCGCTACTAGGAGCAAGGGCCTTACTAGTAGTAACAAGAAGCTATTAGAAACAATAAGCTACTAAGAACAAGTGCATCGCTACTAGGAGCAAGGGCCTTACTAGTAGTAACAAGAAGCTATTAGAAACAATAAGCTACTAAGAACAAGTGCATCGCTACTAGGAGCAAGGGCCTTACTAGTAGTAACAAGAAGCTAATAGAAACAATAAGCTACTAGGAACAAGTGCATCGGATCGTTCAGGCTCAGGGATCGGTGCCCGGAGGCGGCCCAGTGGAGCTTCGTGGAGGTGGACCACCGGGACGCTGGGACGGACCCGGAGCGGTGGAGGTCGAACACCAAAAAAAAGAGAGAGGAACGCTGTGAGGGCCCGTGTTTTTTTTGTGTTTTTGTGTGTTTTTTACTATATTTGGGCCTGTTACACAAAGGATATGAAGTCTGTAGTGAAACAGCTGGTCTTGCATCACATGTTCCAGCTTCAAAAACAAAAGAATTGATGCTAAGGCTGCTAAGAGTAGTGAAGCAGCTAAGGTAAATTTTGATCAAAAAAACGTGTTATTGATCTTTCTGATAACCTATTAGTAGGCCATACAAATGATATTGAAGTGTAACCATCATCAACCATTTTCTGGCTGATATGACTTTTGCTTGCTCCTGCAAACAATATCGTAACTCATCATTTTGAATGCATCTATCTTTAGATGTTGAAATTTCTACAGTTTGATTTTCTACAACTTGGTACAGTGAATTAGGTAATTTAATATCCACATTTTTCCTCACTCTCCAGCCTCCAATCTTATTGATAAAAGCCACTCACTCGGGTTCTTTTGATCTTCAGCTTTGATGGTGAAAACATCAATCTTAACACACTATACTGTAATACCAGCATGCTTCAGTTTAAAGTCAGTTGTATACATTTCAAAAATTGTCAAACTTAACTTAGTTTCACGAGTAAAAACCTTGCTTTTATCACTCTGCTCTACTAGACTTGCCAGCCTTTGCCAAAGAATCCGAATCTGGAGGAGGGGGTCGACCCAATTTCTTTTTTTGGGGTAGACCCTCCCCTCTCAGCCTTTGCCAAAGGATACTAATCTGGAGGGGGAGGGTCCACCATTCGGTCAATCCTCCCTCCTAGCCTTTTCCAGAGGCTCCTAATCTCTGGATCTGGAGGGGGGGTCGACCAACAAAAAGAGAGTATATTTTTTTGTCGACCCCCCCTCCCAGCCTTTGCCAAATGCTCTTTATGTTTTCTTTTTTGCTTCCCCCCCCACCCCAGAGAGAGAGGTCCTTGTGTGGCACATAAGCTTTTGTTATTGTTTCACAAATATTTTCCTTTTTGAATATATAAAGATTATTATATAAGAAAAGTTAAAAAACATATATATATATGTATATATAAGTAAAGGGATTTTATTGAACACATTAGCTTTTTAGAAACACTGGAAAACGCAGGCCCGCACAGCGTTCCTTTCTGAAAAACAAACGGGTCGGACCCGGTGGACACAGGTGTTGTGGTGGACATGTTGCTTTCGGGTGAACAGTTGCGGCGATCCGAAGCTGTCTCTGTGATTTGTGCTGAACTTCGAGTCCGGGGCAAGCCTTTAGATTGGTGAATTTGATATCTTTTGTGACCCTATTTCGAGGCAGCCTCGTCTAATAGGTTCGTGTGTTGGCCGATTGGCTAACAATCCAGGAGGCGCATCCAACATCCCCCATGAATGAAGCCTTATGAAATGACGACGATCCTTTTCTCATATAACATACATGCAAATTCCAAGGGGTATTTTATAGGCACAAGGGCGTGTATTTTGGCAACCTATTTTGCATAACTACCTAAGATCTATAGAGTATCGATTTACACAGGTCATGTCATTTCATAAACTTCAGTAACTTGGAGTGAATGACAGTAATAGATGGCAGGTGAACCCACAAATCTCGTTTTACAAGAATTCACTTGACGAGGTGTTGGAGGCTGGTCAGAATGCCCGATTCGCAATTCTCATTTCATAAATTGATGAACTGTCTCTTCTCTATCTTAACCTATCATGACCTATGCTGGTCATTTTATGAACTAGTTGGTTATTCATTTTATAGACCAAAACACCCATCCCTCACATTTTATAGACACAAATGGTTTATAAAATGACAAACCGACCCGCTTATGAACAATCAAGGGGGAGTCCGATTCTATTACTGTACATCAATTCTCTGTGTGCGTGGCATTTACAAAAGTACACCATCATATAAATTCAATCATTCGGTCCTTGCAACGGAGTACCTGCACAAGAAGCTGACCCTGCTATTGGCTTCGAATGGACAGAGCATGTTCTAGCTGAACAGCAGTTGTGGCAAGGGCCAATATAGTGAATGACATGGCTCAACATGATCAACACCGAATTTGCCCAAAACAGCAAGCCTCCGTAGCCAAATGACGCCCTTGCCAACTTGTGAGTCCTTGCGACTCAGAAAACGCAGGAAGTCTGAAGTCCCTGGATCTCAAGCACTAGGGTGGAGGCCATCGCTATTAGGGTGGAGGCTTCGTCTCAATTATGCACAAACTCAACCCCCATCCCGGTCACCGGGAGTGAATCTCCAGTCTTCGACCGGCTAAGGACCGAAAGTCGGTGAAGGAAGCAATGGCACTGCAACAGTGGGATGTGGTACCTGGGCATCGATGGGTCGTCATAACAAGAAAGCGGAATTCCAAGTTGGTGCCTGTTTTTTGATTATCCACGCCATGAATTGCCAGTCCATCATCCACATACGTCTCCCACCCACACACGACAGAATTGTGCTCAAGAGAGCAAAGGTTCAGAATTTTGTGGAGATCATTACTGTAGCTCTTTATGTTAATGCATTAGACGAACTCATGAGCACTTGGCTGCAAAACAACGCATGAGACAGCTTGAGCTTTACGTAGAGAACTGGGTGAGAGGTGGTGGAGAAAGTATGTAGCAGGTACGTGAATTCTGTGTCCAGAGCCCATATCAGTGACTCGTAACAGCCTCTTCGTTGGACTGCCACTGTTACAAGTTAGGCCCGGCAGTCCCCCTGCTGCGGAAAGCTGTACAAAAAAGATTGAGTGTGCTGAATCGGTAAGTAGTGTAGGGATGTGTAGTAGAAACAAGAAGCTAGTAGAAACAAGTGCCACACTTCTAGTAACAAGTGCCATACTAGTAGTAACAAGAAGCTAGTGTCCCTGGAGACGGAAGGTGGCACACACACACACACACGCAGCAGGATTAGGGTGGTACGGGTGGATCTAGCATGTGTCGTCGTGTGTCCATTCCTTACAGCAACTGGTTGGCATTTGCATATGTGGGAGAGACTGCAAAAGAGGCAATAACCCTGACTGGAACAGCGTTGGCGTTGGCTTTACCAGTGTCCTGTCCCGTTCCAAAGTAAAGGCTTCTCAAACTAGATCAACAGGTTCCAGGATGTCACTGCGACCACCCCTCAATTTTGTTCTGAGTTTGCACGAGCTCTTGTTGCTGAATCCGACGGATTCCGCGTACTGGTGACATGTCAGCCACGTATATCTTTACGGGGCATGAGAAAAAACACATTCAACTCTGATGGACAACTGCCAACCCTTCAGCTTGTGCCCCTTTTTGTTCTTTTGCGGCATAGCATGCGTGGCATTTGTTTCTGGTGGGTTGCCCTCCCAACTGAGTTCTGATTGGCTCCTACATCGCAGGATGGGCCCGTGCTGAGGTCGTCCATACTGCAGGGCCCTTCCAGGGCGTGACAGAGCCAAACATTCTGAAGGAAGCACTGGAACTGGGCGTGCCATACGTGGATGTGTGCTTTGGCACAGTTTGGCACCGAGCATGCTCACCTTACCCTGTGAAGTTTGTCTGGCAAGGTTTTATCACTCACTACGTTCTGAGGCACGTGATTGTTCTTTTCTTTCTTTAAACGTGATAGTCAATCGCACAGTAACGTAGCATAACGTCGCCAAAGGTGAAAGGCCTCTTTTGCTGGAGCAGGTGGCTCCTTGTAGGATCGGTGAGGTTAATGTTTACCCTTGGCATCCCTGAGCCTGATACGTTGGACAAACCAGAACTGAACCTGAAACAAGATCCTCGTTCTAAAGTTAGTGAAGCCCCAGGCTTCCAACTTGAGAGATGTTTTTTTTGGCCTCAGGGTGCGGTCTCCGCATCTTATCTCCACGGACTGCTGTCGTGGTGTTCACCTCAACGGTGTCTCAGGTGCGATGACACGGAGCTCTGTAAAACGGCGAAGAGCTTGGCGAAGTCTTCGGTGCCTGCCATCGTGTCGGCAGGCATTTGGCCTGGTGTTCCTGGGACCTTGATGGAGGGGGATTGGGTCGAATCTCAATCAACCTCTTGATTGAGGACCGGATGGACCTTGGTTGAACTGCACAATGTGTGAACTTTCTGGAATCAGTTCCCAATTGAAGAGGGTGGTCAAGTGCAGCGCATGCACTGTGGTGGTACACAGCAGACTGCGAAGGCATTTGTATATCACCCTGTGAACTTTGCTCAACAATCAACTGTGGTGCAGGCTGCTGAAAACTAGGCACCAGGGGATCGGGTCCATGTGGTCTACTTTAATTAAGAACACACATATATATATATATATGAACTCTTACCACTCTTTTCTGTGCCCATCCCAGCCTGCCACAAAGCAATATTTCACCCATTGGCAAAGACACTGAGGCAACGTAGAAATTGAGAAGACTTTGGAATCTGTTGGTGCACTTTGGAACCAATCACCATGTCGCTTGCTCAGCAACAATCCTTTACTTCGCTGAGAATATGAGGCCCATACTGCCTGTTGGTCTCATGCAGTCCTACAAACCTGCGGTTTCCAAATTCCATGCTTTGCCATTCAAGCTTCCTTTCATCCACATGGAATAGGGGAATGTATGGGAGGGCCAACGGACCAACAAACAGGTACCCTACGCATCCCTGCGCTGTGGAACCTCGTGCCAGCGAGGTCTCCGCCCTGATGGTGCGTGAGGCTTACGAACGCTTGGGAAGCATTGAGGAGAGCTTGTGGCAGGTTTAGGTTGGAGGCCATCGCTAGTAGGTTGGAGGCTGGGTGAAATGGTGTTGAGTGCCTGTTGGGTGAAAAGAGTTGGGGTACTCTTCTCTCGAAGCCTGACTTTGCTTGATGCTGGGAAGACGCTGTTCACTAGGACTTGGAGATGTCCTTCTACACTGCAAGCTTGGCTTTGCTTCAGCAGCATTTTGCTTTTTCTCCTTCAGACCTCGTGGCATTAATGTCCGAGGCCATTCTTGGATGTTTCATCTCTGTCCGCCATGGGCACAACGACACTGACCTGCCACTGACCTGCCTCAGACCTCCCCAAGGCTGGCACTGGAGGTGCAGGGCCCACCATTGTGTCTGCCACCTTCCTGCTCTTGGCGGAGCCACCTTTGAACTACCAGGCGCCGTGTCGCCCACGAAACAGGATCACAGCGAGTCTTGAGATGCTTTCAATACATACTGTAATTATGTGTGATTTGTAGATATTTGTAGTCATGGTCTCCCAGTCATAGTCAGTCATAGTGAGTTTCTTTTGTACACACCAGAGACGCCAAGTCATCAACAATTTGAATAGTTAGTCTGTCAGTTATTGTCGCCCTGCCCAGCGAAAAGCGCGCATCGGCCTCCACGGTCGACCTACGTGCTTTTTTCTTCTCAACAGGGGAATGGATTTGTCACCTCCAGGTGACTTCAAAGGGCAACAATTGAATTGACATTTAGAAGTCACCTGGAGGTGAATTGACATTTAACAGAGGCAACGATTTGATTTCTTCGCCGAGGCTGGCCAGGAGGTCCGGGCCGAGCCCTGGGGCCAGCGGCGCCTGGTGGCCCGGCGATGAGTGGATGAAAGGGCGAAGATGACAACATCTCAACAATTCTCAACATATCGAAGGTGAATTATTGTTATTATGATTATGATTATGTTTTTTCTTTTTTTTTTTGCCTTTTCTTAAAGGTGGGGTAGGCCGTAGAGGGAGGTAGTAGATAGAGGTAGCTAGTAGAAGCTACAGGTAGCTAGTAGCTACTAGTTTGCACCTAGGACGCAGGATAGCTCATGCTTCTTCAAGGAAGCTCCCCGCGCCCTAGATTTGGTTCCTAGATTTTTAGGGAAACTCAACTATATTAGACCTATTCTCAAAAATTCTCAACATATCTCAGGTCAAGAGGGTGAAGATGATGGATGTGAGGGTGACATCATTGAGCATGTCTGGTCAGGAAGATGAACTATTTGGTGTTGCAAATCCTAGACACCTAGACAGCCTAGACATTGGCAATGCCTTTCGACTTATTGCCGAGTATCTCCAGGATAAAACATTTGCATCACTGCACTGTAGATAGTACAGACTTGGCCGCAGGACCTGAAGGAACTTACTTTCGTCACATGTTGAGTAAAGACCAATCCTTGTATAGTCAGACACTAGCTTGACTGTTTAGTTGAGATTTCATTGAATCATGTTTTCCGGCTGCCCGGTGCCTGAAGCCAAACCTCAAGTCACAAGTCCGATGTTGTACCTTAGAGTGGGTTTAGATTGCAGTTTCTGGCCACTATCCTAGATTTGATAGAAGCTCCAAGGTTTAGATCCCATCCACGTCTCGCCTGATGGTGTTGGTGTCTGCGCCTTGGTGCAAAACGCACAGGTGGACTTTGGCCCAGGGGTAGGGCAGCAGCCAGTGCATCTGTTGGATGAACCTGAGGCGGGCAGTGACAGGATGACTGGATGACAGACAGATTACGAACGGATACCCGAGGAACAAATTTGAGTGTCCATAGATCGAGGAATCATGCCGAATGGTTTGAAGGAGCAGACCAGCAGACTCGTGTTTTGTGACAACCTGGAAAAGATGATGGTACAGCCTGTGTCTTCATGAATCATGTATCTGAAAATTTGTAGAGCTTCACACACCGGTGATGCCATAAGGGTTGTGGTTGTTGCTCTATACCTTCCCCTTTGGCTAATGTACAGAGAGGGGGGGCTAAGCAAATGTACGGCCACTTTTCGTGCATTTGTGGAAGCCCTGACAGCTGACTTCGTACATTTTTTTTGTGTGGTTGCTTGAGTATATTCTTACATTTGGTTTTCACATGGATCAAAGTGGATTGAACATTTGCTGACCATAAGTTGAATGGCCGATTCATACACTACTGGGCTACTGGGTTCCAGTGCTTCTTTACAGGTGTACACGTAGTTTGGATAAAATGTTGATACTTTCACACTTTGTAGGCAACAGTGACCAAGGCCAAGGCATGCTCGGTCGTTCAAATCGGAGTGTGAAAACCGAATGGGATGAGAGATGATGAGAGAGCCCCTCGAGATCGCAAAGACCGGTGTTTTTGAACCTTGGCAAGACAACAACCTCGGCTACCAGTGGTTACCAGGCAAAAGCTACAGTGTTTTGCGCAGTTATTGAACCATGGACACAAACAGGAAACAACACAAAAAAACACAATGTGTTTGAGCCAGGGTGAGCCAAACGCCACGGCATTTACTGTATTTTATATACTGTACATTTTTTACGGTGCAGCTTGGACTAGATTTCTAGGCCATTCACTCTCTCCACCTGCCCCAGATCCAAGAAGGGGCCCAGATGTGACTAGGCTGTTACCAAGGGCTTGAGTTCTACATCCAAGTTCTCATAATTTCTCATATGTTTTACTCAAGCCTTTCCAGAGGTAGCAGATAAGGACCCGAATCCCACCAAGACCACGAGGTCCCACTCTCTCAACCTCGTCCTCGTCTGCAGTGCACCCAGACTCAGCAGCAGCACTCTCATCGGATCTCAACGACTCGGCAAGATATCTGATCTCTTCGCAGTTCTCTTCGCAAACGCACTCACTCGTAAGACGCAATATGTTGTTGGGAAAACGGTGGCCAACAACGGCCTGAACAAATGCAAGATGGTACTCAAGGAAACTTAACACAGCACTCTTCCAGTGCCACCTCGAATTTCTTCCAGCTCACTTGTCGCGGGGCTACTTGATCCACCTGTGCTCGAGAAGCACCTCCTCGAGAGCTTGAACGTTCCCGAGTTCCCTTTACATCAACGCATGGTTACGCTTTTGGACTTGTCGTGATGCAAGGAATGAGACGTGTTCAATCTTTGTGGATATCCTCCAATAAATGCCCTTCATACAGCGAACTTTCAGAAACTTTGAAAGTTAGTTTTGGGCCTCCTCTCTTCCCAAGTTCTCCGCCCCAGTCTCAACACTCTCTATAGCCCAACTTGTACTTACAACCTGTCAATCTTCAGACATTCCTGGCCTCTCTTGTCCTTCACGTTTCCCGCTCAAGATGATTTCCAACTTCCAAATTTTGAGACCGCATGGTCTCTCTCTCCCTCTCTCTCTCTCCTTCTCTCTCTCTCTCTCTGTCTCTGTCTCTCTCTCTCTCTCTGTCTCTCTCTCTGTTCCTTCATGTTCCCGCTCAAGTTTCCTGACTCGGCACTCTGGCTCATCAATTTTTTCCGACTCGTTTCCCGTCCAGGTTTCCCAACTGACTAACCTTCTCCTGCAACTGATAGTTGCGACTCGCTTTCCTGATTCGAGGGTGGTGTTCTGATCCTATCCAGGTGGTTTCCTGCTCGGTTTTCTGACCCTGTCGCTTTCCCTGCTTGGGGGCCTTGAAAGCAACCCCTACGTAGGTGCGCAATTAGCATCGTCCACAGAGGGGTCAGGGAAGCCGAACGCAGACAACGCTTTCCACGAACAATCTTGACAGTGACACGAAACGTGGCTGTGAGGGGGAGTGAGTGGACAGGTTTGATTGCAGCAGGCTGCCGCAAGAGCGTGCGACTCAGTTTCTCTTAGCTGCCTGGTTACTTATATATATATATATTTACTGTATAATGTTTTGCGCGTTTCACTGGTACGTTTAAAAAACTCACGTTTCGCCCTGCGAGTTGAGTCTCAGAGGTAAGAACACAACAAACCAAAAGGCCCAACGCATGTAGGGAACAAACCAACATGCGTCAACACAACAAGCGCCGTCAATCATCCAAATGCACCGCTTTTGGCATAGCTCCCAAGTGCTTGTTTTTCGTTTGGGATCCTGGCAGTGCAGGTGTACACCTGCCATGAGTACTTGGGTATCCCCAACATCTCTTCGAGCTTCTCGCCCGCATTCTTGGGGGCCCGGAGCGAGGACAGGTGTTCTGAAGGAGTGCTGCCAGGTGTTCTACAGAAACTGCACGACCATGTGTTTACAACATGTGTTTTCCCGAGAGCTTCTGCGAAGAGTTGTTCGTAAAAACACATCTGCAGAACTACGTCTCATCTACATCTTCACATCTTCACCTCTGCACATCTACATTTTCACCTATATCTCTGCTCATCTTCACATGCTCACATCTGCACATCTACATGTTCGCATCTTCACATCTGCACGTCTACATCAT